ACTCTCATTCAACCGAGCATGAGCGTGTGCACATTTGAACGTTACTGTAGATATGATAGTAAGAAAGCTTTTCGGTACTTGAATATCATTTCTTTGAACTTTCAAACAAGTTTATTTCAACATATGTCCGTGTATGTTGTTTCAGAATAGAGACAAAATTAATTGCCACTACTAATGAATGTATGTAACAGTTTATAGTACAGGTGGTTTCAATAAACACCGCCTGAGCCTGACCTCTTGTTACTTAATACATCCTGTTAGAAGAGATTACCAAACGATACAGACACCATAAATTACAAAGAAAATTACTTCACAGCACTTAAAAGATTAGTCCTGGTCACATTCCTCTCATTACATAAGCGTTAGAAAAGTTGCTTCTGGAAAAAACTGCACGGGATATACGTGACTTTTGTTTTTCTTATATAGTAGCTTAAGTCATGCTGCATGGTATATCTGTTTATATTAATCATTATATTGAAAAATTAACTCAAAATAGATATATTTTTTAGGAAAGAAGTTGATCCACGATTGTTAGGGTTAAGAGTTACCGAGTGGCGAGTGCAAAGTCTTTACATGAATTAGACTTAGGACTTTGAACTGAAAGAGTTTGTGATTTTTTTATATTCCTTTGAATTTAAATTTGTAGTTTTAAGCTCAATGATTTAGCATAATTTTATATTTAGTTCATAATGATAATAATATGATTCAGTATTTATGTTGGTTATGAAACAGGCTAAATACTAAATAATACAGGGAAGCTGTTGGGGGTCTCAATACATTGAAGTTTCGCATTCCAACATAAATCTTGCTTAGAAAAGCCCTATTGGCCAGTACTAAATACAACCTCTACATAAAATGGCAGTTACTATAATAAGCACCACCCGCATTCATATTGTAAAATCCAGAGAACAACGTTTCATCACGTGCTTTCCTTATCATCCTATGATTTGTCAAATGGGAGATACAGCAATTGGAATAATTGGTACTGAAATTGACATTTTCGACTAGGATTGGCTAAGTTTTACAACTGAGGTTTAACACGCCCAGACGCAGTTTTATAAAGAAAAGAGACTAGAAGAAGGTTTAGATACCAATCATAGATGGCAGAACCAGTGCTGAGGTGAAAGGAAATATCTTAAAAAATTTTTTGAAAAAAACATTTCTTCTTAGAGGGCGCTTATTTACAGTCTAAAACGTATTTTAGGAATTTTTTCATTAAATTCCTCTTTAAACTTCATTAACGAATACAATTTTGTACAAATAATTGAATGTTATGCTACTATTTATATAAATAAAATCAGAAATCCATTAAAAGATAAGTTCTCTATCATTTTTTCAATTCACAAATGCACACTTGCATTGCCTACTAAGAAAGTTAGTACCGGTAGTCATCGGGTTAATTGCTGCTATCAAAGTATTACTAGTAGTGGTAAATAATCAAACTCAAGTCAAATACAAACTAAAGTTAACATTACTAAGTTTACATTTGAAAAATTTTACATCATTACTAACAGTTTAGAGAACTGTTACGAGTGGTTTTATGAAAATTTCCTTCAAGTGAGTCTGAAACAACATTTGTAATGAATTACTGAGGAGATAGTTGTACACACCTGATGTAACTTCTAACCCACAGTTAAATTGCACCAATTCTTTTTCATGTTCTTCATTTTCTTTTTCCAAATTCATAACATCATCTTTTGAACAATCTAGATCATCATCATCCTCACTGAACTTGGAAATAATGCCATCTTGTGTTAAGTCATCAGGTTGCTCTGTTTTTACTCTCACAAATATGTTCTGAAATAGAGTAGATTAAAGAGTTCTAAGTTAAGCATTAATAAAGCAAGTCATTTAGATAAATTCTGAACTTTCCCAATATACCTAAAAAAATAAACTAGAACATGAATCTGTGTTGAACGATGATAACTACTCAGTATCCTGACAAGCCAGACAACATTTTGGATTGAAATGTACTTGCATAAAAAACTCTAGCAGCATAGAGAACTAATGCATTATTAGATATATGTTACAATGTATTGTTCACTATAAAGGTAGATGTTTAGTAACCTTTACAGTTTGAAAACTTAGCTGGTAAATACTTAACTACTAGGAATCTATATATATAATAACGAAATGTCTGTCTGTCTGTCATGCTCTGTATATCCTGAACCCTTAATTGTAGAAAAAATAGATATAAAAATTCTAATTTCTATTTAAATTTCTTGCAATTCCTAAAATTTCTTATCGATATCAGCATTGTTTTGTCAGTCTTGGTAAGTACTGAATGTTCAACCTGAAAAAAAAAAAACTTGATAGAACAACAATGCTTTCTTTTTTGGGGGAATTTCAAGAACAAAACAGAACTTCCTTCGTCAACTGACTGAAAGAAATATTTTGAAGATAAAAGCATTAAGAGCAAAAACACATAATGAGAGGAACATGTGTTTGAGAATATATTTGTTGTTGTTGTTCAGTTTATAAAAATGTATATATTTTTTATGTTGATATTATATACATGCATGATTTTATTGTACCATGTCGAAAAAATTGAATAGAATATCTCCCCTTTGACACTTCTTATAGAAATGACAACTGTCAAAAAGTGCTCACTTCAGTAGCAATCTTTTCTTGCATTCAGTAAAATGACAAGGAATGGTGGTATCCAACAGAAAAAATCCCCATGGCTGCTTAGCGAGCCTAAGTGCTCCATTTTGCTGGATGCACCCATTGCATCGAAATCAAAACACTTTTGAAAACAATGAACTGCAGTCAGTCTCCTTTCCTTAAAAACAAATGCAATGCATTTTTCCTTATTGAAATAACACATAGAATGACAAACTATGATTTTAAACTCAAGTATGAGCATGATTTTAGTTTCTCTACTTTTACTGGGCTCAGAAATTAGAAGTGTATAATTTACAGCTTCTCAGAAAAATAAACATTTTAAGAAACACTGTAAAAAACAACTTCAACAGTACAACACTCATTGCAAGTAAATGTACAGTAAACTGCACTTTCTTATCCAACATTCAAAAATGTACCTACAAAGTTTAAAGTTATTTCATATGCATTGGCTACATATTTATCTGATTAGATGTAAAACTTTACAAAATAATGTATTGTATGGCTCACACCAAAGTTGGAGTTGATTAATAAAACATGATGTAATGCCATCATGTTACTTGTATTCTCAGAGGTTCAAATAATTTACCATTCCTTTCTTATTTACCTGGGATAAATATTGAATCACAAAAACCTTTTAGAGCTTGACAAACTAAACTCCTAGTCTACACACTTCTACACAGTGGAATCATTCATACCATACCAGGAATATAGACAGTAATTAACTAGCTACAAATAACCTACGCTTAACTATGTTCTTCCATGTTATACCATTTCTTGCTTTTATTTTACTCATATTCACAATTAGCATAAATAAAAAACCTATCAATCAAAAACAGAATAGTAAACTTTGATGTTTTTAATATCTTCTCCATAATTAATGAGCAACAAAATAAACACAAGTTTATTAAAGATTCTTTTTAGCTTGCAGTAGTGCTACCTATATGCTTTACTAAAATCGGGCACTGTTCAATGGTATAAATTCATCAGAAACTAATTCCAAAAAACTATTAAAATCAATTATTTGAAATGAAATACATTTCTTGAAAATGAAAGCTAATGCATAATAACTTGTAATAATCTTTACAAACACATTTGATTTAGCAAGACCACATAAAAACTTTAAAAATGAACTTTTTGAACACAATTTCATCTCAAATTTTAAATCAATAAGTTTTCAAATCTGAAAAGTCTTTACTTCATAATGATATTAAAATAATGCTGGAATAAAAGAATGACACATGACATCTTTAATGTTATTCAGGAGTACACAGTCATCTCAATTTAACTAGAAAATTGTAAAAGTTTGTAATAAGTCCATTACCTCTATGCCCTCTTCAGTTTGATTATCTTCTTCTTGTTCCTCTTTTACTACACCAAACTCAAAAATGGAATGTGAAGATCCTTCTCCAAAGAAAGAATTTTCTCCTGGTGATTAAAGTATAAATGATATATATAACTTCTGTCTTTAACAATGATCTTTAATATGAGTTATACATCACTATTTATAATACCAAGTATTACATAGTAACAATGCATTAGGATTTAGCTTATCAAGTTAATGAAAGGAGAGGAAACTTTTTCAAATGTCAACTTACTAAGTTTACTAACAATCAACTATTAAGTCAAGTATTTTAAAACTTAGGTGTTTCTTTACTATTTTTTTAATAAACATATTCTTCAAAACGATTACTGTATTTGGTATATAAAAGTTTGACATTATCAAATGTCAGTTTGGCTTTAATACATTAAGACATTTACTTCCTTGAGTACATTTAATGCCTAAAATATACACTTGTTAAAATGAAAAACTGAAAATGTAAAGATTTTGAAACAATCACTTCATCAATCTAGAATATTAATTATGTAAATAGCAACATTTTTAATATTATACTAAGGTAAAGATGATGGTTTGTTTGTTTTTGAATTTTGTGCAAAGCTACACGAGGGCTATCTGCACTAGCCATCCCTAATTTAGCAGTGTAAGCTAGTCATCACAACCCACCGCAAACTCTTGGGATACTCTTTTACCAATGAATAGTGGGATTAACCATCACATTATAACGCACCCATGGCTGAAAGAGCAAGCATGTTTGGTGGGATGGGGATTCGAACCCGCAACTCTTAGATTGCGAGTTGAGTGCCCTAACCACTTGGCCATGCTGGGCAAAGATGATGGAAATACAACTAAATGATGACCAGATGGTAAATTTACATCATGTCTGCTTATCAGCCAAGCCAAACTTCAGTGATTATCACATGAAAGACATAAACCACATGTTTAGCACTATTGGTTTTTTTCACTAAATACCTTATAAAATGTAAACAATGTCTGTTGAAGTCAAACTACTATAACTAATAAAACAAGTTTTATCAATTTCAAGGAAAACACATTGTCTGTTATATTAATTGTTGGCTATCTATTTCACAATTATACAAACACTTTTTGTATAGCAATATGCGTATTTGATGACTTGGGTTAAACATGTATCTGTAGCACTATATTAATGATAAATATAGATTTGTCCTTATATTTCTGTAACTTGTTCATAAAATTAGTCCTAGTTTTCTTCATATACTTTTTGAAGGCCTGTCATAGCTCTACGAGTTAGATGTAACAAATTGTAATAATGATGGAGGTGGTTATGTACATTTAACTATATTTTCATGTTGACTCAATATTATATGTTTAAAAAAATCTATATTTATCATTAATATAGTGCTACAGATACATGTTTAACCCAAGTCACCAAATATGCAATGCAATAGCTAACGTTTCAGAGCTTGCTGGAATGAGAAAGGTTGGTGCTAAACCTGTTGCCCTGGCACTGTGGATCACAACGGTGGCAACCCACCACTGTATTAACATATCAGACTGTTAGATGACGAGAAACCCACTTTGAGACTAATAATGGTTGGAGATGGCTTGAATGGGTAATGAAGAAAAACTTTAATATAAGTTTAACATAACAGCAAAAGTGCAAATGATGATTGAAAAACCATGGGGAAAAGTTGTTTTTTTGCTGTTAT